TGTCTAAAGCTGCATGATCACCACTAGTTAAAAAGTAAATAATTCGGCCAGCCAGGCGTGGTGGCTCTCGCCTGTAATCCTAGCACTCTGGGAGGCTGAGGCGGGCGGATTGCTCAAGGTCAGGAGTTCGAAACCAGCCTGAGCAAGAGTGAGACCTCGTCTCTACTATAAATAAAAAGAAATTAATTGGCCAACTAATATATATAGAAAAAATTAGCTGGGTATGGTGGTGCATGCCTGTAGTCCCAGCTACAGGGAGCTGAGCAGAGATCACTTGAGCCCAGGAGTTTGAGGTTGCTGTTAGCTATGCTGATGCCATGGCACTCACTCTAGCCTGGGCAACAAAGTGAGACTCTGTCTCAAAAAAAAAAATCAAAAAAAAAAAAGTAAATAATTCACTTTTTAAATCCTGAATTTGGGAAGTATCATAACATGTTATCATATTTGCCTGCCTAAAACCAATGCTAAAGACAGAACTAATGTTTCAAAGCAAAGTAAAATCCAGTTACCCGTATTTATTGAGATGAGGTAAGTATTTTTCTGTAGGAAAGTAAAACTTCACCTGTCAAATGGAAGTTCATCAAACAGAGGCCTTTGTCTATTGCAGTCACCCATACTTTAGAGGTTATTTGTGATTAAATTTCAAAGTATATGCCACTTGCACATATCATACATTTGCTTATAAGGTGGGTGGGCTCAATTGATATTTACAGCGGTTCCCAACCTTTTTGGCATCAGGGACCGGTTTCATGGAAGATAATTTTTCCATGGACGGGGAGTGAGGGTGTGGGGGAACTGGGGAAAGGTGGAGCTCAGGTGGTGATGCATGGCCTGAGTCCTAGAGTCCTAACAGGCCACAGACTGGTACTGGGCCATAGCCTAGGCGTTGGGGACTGCAGTTTTAATAGAAAGGATGCAGTCTGAAATATGTCATACTGCAACAGTACAAACAGACCCTAATTAATTGGTTATAGACATCAGTCTAAGCTGACCCTTAGCTTTAATTTCACCTAGAACTACTGAAAGTGAACAATATAATATGTACTGTCAGCACTCAGATGCCAAACATGTTCATAAAAATGTCAAAGACAACCTTTAATGCCCCAAATGTCATTCTAAACAGGGAGAGAGGAGGAAAGCTGCACCAGTGAGGAAAGGATTAATCGTTATGGAAGGTAAAATATCTACAAGTTGTATATCTTCAACTCATGAGGAATGCTGCTTCCCCACCTGATTTTTCCCACAGAGCTCCAGAGTATCTTCAAGTACTACTTATGATCGAAAAGGTCAAGAATATTAGTGTCAACCAGAATATGTAGCTCTTAACCTTTTGGGGAGCACAAACCACTTCGAAAATATGATAACAGCTCTGTGTAGACAAAGTAGTAAACGATCCATGCAGGTTAGGAAAAGAGCCCATGACTTCAGTTAGAGGAGAATCATAGAATGATGGATTGTAAGAAAGCACTTATGTCCATCTGCCTCAGGAAACTAGGCCCTGGACAGTAAAATGGCTTGTCCAAGGTCAATAGTGACTTAGAAGCGGAATCAGACTAGAAATGAGCAACTTGGACAGATTCTGAATAAAGCCATACAGAGTCACAAAGTAACTTTTTCTTATATCAAGTTCCACCAGAAACTAAGAGATAACTACAGTAATAAAAGTCTTAAGTAGAATTGGAAGTAACTGACACAAGTACTGTTTCTCAAAAGTTCCTTGATGGCCTAAGCTGCAGGCATAAGGAAAAACACAACTAGAAACCCTGAAAAGCACTCACCATGTTCCACAAAAACATTGCAGTGTGGACCCCCATGCCTCGATGATTCCTTCTTCCCTGCTCCTTTGATAAAATGCAGGGCAGGCAAACTTGGCCTTCTTTGGTCCCCAAGAACTTTTCCAGGCTGCTGCCCCATAAAGTAACGATAGACACCCCTTTCCAGAAGAGGGTTCAAGATCTTCCAGAAGGTCAGTTAGCTTAGAAGGAAAACAGTATGTGGGATTTCACATTCACTGCATCTCCACAACTCAGTAATTGAGGTCAATCACAAAAAGATATCTTCCACAATAAAAGCAGTTTTTTTTTTTTTAGGTTGACACATGTAAACAGGAGTTCCAATTATTTTCCCAGTATATCAACTTGAAGCAATATAATTGCAATGCTACCCCAAAAAGTTTCCTGGTTTGGCTGAATAACAATTCCTTTTCAAGAAGAAAATCTTAAACAGAAATATTCACAGGGACGCTGCAAAGTGTCCACAACACTAAAGTCATTTCGATCCCACGCATAAAGGAAACGTCAATCGTCTTTGGATGCTCCTCCAGAACTTTTCCTGTGGAAGTCACCAACCCCCTATCTTAGTTTCTTCATCTTCCGACAAATTTCCTGCTGAACTAGCTGCCGCTCTGGCTTCTCTACTCTGCTCTCCGGAAAAGGACACGGGTCACCCAGATTTCAGCGAGGGCTTGCCCTCGACTCTGACGAAAAGGAATGCATTGCCAGCAACTTTTAAGTCCGCTTTTTAAAAGGCCTGTGAAACCAATCCAGACTTTTCCTTTGCATTGAAGTTTTTGGCTGAGCTGAGACTAAAGGCGCCGTAGGTGACATTGGAAAAAGTCAGGGCATTAGAGGCTCGGCAGGAGCAACCTGGGGGAGGGGGAGGCCACCTGACAGCAGGGAGGGAATTTGAATGGGGGGCTCCGTGGCCAAACTTGGGGCCGGGATCCTGGACAAGGGGTAGCTCTGAGCTAAGAGGAAGGCTTCCGGAAGGGGCACGGGCGGCTTACTCGGGGGGCGACGCTCCCCCACGCCTCAGGAAACGGAGGTGTCCCAGGTCTGGGGGAAACGGAGACTACCCCCAGTGTCCCAGAGCCGGCGGTGCCGTAAGGGACGAAAGAGTCTCGTGGGCCCGAAGGCGGAAGGCGGGCGCAGGGGAGGAGGCCCGGTCGCCTCAGCTGCCCCGAGCCCCAGGGTCTCTGCCCGAGACACCCCCTCCCCCGGCCCCGGACGCTGCCACCACCACCGCCGCCAAGCAGTCACATCCCCCGGGCTCCGCCGAGGGACCAAGACTGCCCTCGCTGGTAGGGGCCGTGGACAACGGAAGGGCTCCTCAGCTGCAGGACCCGGGAACCGGCTCTGGCTCCAGCGCTGCTCAGGGACAGACACCGACCCCCGCAGCCGCCATGATGGATTACGAGCCGCTCCACAACGAGGCCAGGCCCCGCCCTCGGCCCCGCCCCCGGCGACGTCCGGAGCCGGCCTCGCGGGTACCGGGATGGCCCTGGCGTCGATTTCCCGGGGCCCCTCCGCACCTCCTGGCCCTGCTCTCGCTGCCTGCGAGGACCCGGCCCGGCACGACCTTTTAAATGTGGCTTCTCTGAGAGCAAGGTGAGTGGTAAGGAAGCACCCGCCTCCACTGTACTGCCATTGGTCTCTGAGGATCCGGGTCAGGCTGCTCTCCTCCGTCCCATTGGCCGGTGAGCAGATTGGCTAGAGCTCCCAGCCAACCGGTTTCGGCGCAGCCCGCGGGACGCGCCGGGAGATGTGGTCCCACGGCGCCCGCGCGGAACAGCGCGCGTGCAGACTTCTTGCCCCTGCTCCGACCCCTGCGCCCCGGCCCCGCCCCCCGGAGCCGGTGGACTCTCCTCGGCCTCTAGTCCGGCTGGCCCGCGTCTCCCTACGCCAGTAGTAAGACGGGGGAAGAGCCAAAGCAAGGGACAAACTGCGGATTGGATTTTCCTCGAACCGGAGCTGGATTCGTTCCTTAAGTCTCTGAGGACGTGCATTGAAGTTTTCGGCTGATCTGAGACTGAGGGCGCCGTAGGTGACATTGGAAAAAGCCAGGGCTTCAGAGGCTCGGCAGGAGCAACCTGGGAAAAGGGGAGGCCCGCTCCTGGAAACCGCGGTATTTGGTGCCTTTCACTCCCTTCAACCTCCAAAAAGCACAAATATTAGAACTAGCGAAGAAATATGCAGATGGGAAGCATCCGACGTATAGCTAATGAAGTCCATTGCTTGTTTCTTTGAGGTATCAGGAGGCTTACTCATCAAATAAACAGCATTTGGAGAGAGGCTGCGCCAGACACAATCATAGATGTTTGCGCTGGAATGAACCTTCAAGATTAAACATTCCACCGGTGAACACGTATTCACACAAAAACATTCTCTGTTAGCTGAGAAAATGCCCAAGTAGTTGGGTTTAGCAGGCCTGCAGAGCTAGCTAATGACCCGGACAGGCCAAACCCACACCTCTCATTAACTCTTCTTTTGCAACTAAAAAGCACCGTGGCCCCCTCTTCTTCACTGTCCACGTCTCCCCAGAGCGGTGCACCTGACCGGGATATGCCCGTTTCTAAGGGGATCCACTCTTCACCAAGCACTGTTTGCATTTTTCACAAACTGCATTATCTCATTTAATCCTCACTCTAGCCCAATGAGGTACGTAATATTATTCCCCACTATACAGATGGGGAAACATTCAGAGACGTGACTTACTCAAGGTCACTTGGCTAATATGTGACAAAGTCACAATTTCAACCCAGATTGGCCTTACTCCAAAACCCATGGTTTTCCCACTGTCCATAGAGTATCAAATAACTGTTGACCTAATGTTAGATAACTGATTTTTCAGAAGTTGCTGCTGCTATCATGGGAACCACAGCTGCATTATATATTGTACATTCAGCTATTATATTAAGTGTTTTATAAATAGTTTGGCTGGATTGAGATGGCGCTTATTTGCGATATTGGCTTCAAGGGAAGTTGTCACTTGGAGGTACTGAATATGAAGCATATGAAAATTTGTGCCCAGATTTAGAACTGGAATTTATAAATTCGGATGTTAATTGGTTTAGGTTTGTTCGCTATCACAAAATAAGCTAGCTGACAATCTCAATCCTGATCGGTAGTGTCATTCTTCAAACTTCAATGCCCTTATTCCCCTTTGATTATTACCCTGATTTTTCTTTTTATCTCCCTAATACACATTTCTTGAACTAACAATTCATTTAACAAGCATTTATTGAGCACCTGTGCCAAGCACTGTTCTAGGTACAGAGATACAGCAGTGAAGAAACTCATGCTTATTCTCATGGAGCATCCATGGAGGGACAGGCAGTAGCAAAATAAGCAACAATCCAAACAAAGATCAGTCTCAATGCTGGAAATTAGATTTCTGGATCCACACCTTTCACAATCAGTCCAACCCATCCTCTAAAGCAGGAGCCCCCAACCCTTTTGGCATGACGGACCGGCTTTGTGGAAGACAAATTTTCCACGGACTGGGGGTGGGGGGCCATGGTCCCAAGATGACCCAAGCGCACCACATTTATGGTGCAGTCAAACCTCTCTGCCAATGACAATCTTCATTGCAGCCACTCCCCAGCCCCAACTTCACCCGGGATCATCAGGCACCACTCTTGCAAGGAGCAAACACCTAGATCCTGCATGCAGTGTCCGTGGTAGGCTGATCTGACAGGAGGCGGAGCTCAGGTGGTGATGCCAGTGATGGGGCAGCTGCAAACACAGATAAAGCCTCCTGCGAGGGCAGGGGGAGTGGGGGGACAGCAACAAGCCACGGTGCGGTCCTGTCCAGTCCGGGGGCTGGGGACCACAGCTCTAAAGGACTGCTTTATGACAACTCTCTAGAGCTATTCCTGTTTCAAGGATAACCAAGTCACATTAATTCTTTGATTTCTTCACCTAGAAGTGCATGAGGTGTGAAGGTTACCATGAGGACCAAACTAGATCCTGGTTGGTGTCCCCAAAGCTTGAGACTGTGCTCCACGGTAGTCCCTACGGAGGTCAACTGCTTGTCTCTAATCTCCGCTTTCCACTTCCACCGTTTTCTAGTTTTAAGTGAGCCCCACATTGAGACTGAGACTGTAAAATTTTTTCTAGAGATGCACTATATTTTTTTTACTCCCTGTATAATACTGTAGAATGATACTTTTAAGGACTTAAAAATTAGAATCCAAAGCCCAGCAAATGCCTGAGTCTTAAATAAATATTGCCAGATATTGAATAAGTCCCTTTAAGCTCATATAGTTTCATTAAAAGTGATTCAGTTCCAGTCTAAGTTTGTCCTAACTTTTATAAAGCAAAGCAATCCACCAAGTTGCTAAAGGGATTCAGTGTAAAAATTTCAGCTATTAATACATTTTTAAAAACATCTTTTAGAATTACACTTAACAAGGGCGCCCTCTAGTGGGCCGCTGAAAGTAGACAATCAAACGGTGCTTCCAGACCTTTAAATTATTCCACTTGGTAGGTAATCACCATTCAGCAGATGCTGAAAGAACAGCATAGGCTGGACCAATGAGAAGGACCAATAAACAAGCTTTCATACATATGGCCCTGGTTAAAACCAAACCTAGGACTCAGACTCCCATTCTTCCCAACATTCTCTTTTCTCAAGAGGCAAACAGGCTGGAAAATTTTCTCAAAAGTATGACAAGTGAACCAATCTATAGCTGCATCATAGCCCATCGAATATTCAATTGTTTGCAGACTTCTCAAAACACGTGTTACAACTTGAGATAGAAAAAGAAAATTCCTCAAAACAGGTGCTACAACTTTAGAAAAAAAGATTAAAAAGCTGGCTACTAAGTAATTTTATAAAAAGAAATAGCATTTAATGAAAAAAAGTCAAGATGTATTTCAGAACTTCAAATGCAGTGTTCGGTTACTACTACTGAAACTGTCCTAGGTTTAAATTTTACTAGGTGACTCAAGTAGTTAGGACCACTGTCAGAGGCATTTGTATCTCCTGAGCCCTCCTCCAACTGTACTCAGCTCCCAGAACACAAGAACAGAAACTAATCATGTTAACCCATTTATATATATCAAAAAATAGTGCACCACATATGTGAAATAAAATAGCACTTGCATGCAGTGCCCTTACAAAAGAATGTTTCCCAAAACCTAAATCAAGACACCACTTTTAGATAGTCAATGCAATGCACAGGAATTCTAATATTCCTCAGTGAGAGCTTCAGTATCTTTTTATGTTCTAACCCTGAATTATTCAATAGTTAATGCATTACTACTTCAGTGATAGGAGGAAAATAGCTTTGCTTTTCCCATCTCCATTTTCTGTTTTCACTCTTGTTTATCAGAGCATCCAAAAGTACATGGACCCAGAACATTCATTCAATTATTGATAATTCAGCTTCTTACAAGTCCCACTCCATGGCAGGACAGATAAAGGCAGCCTGGTGTGGACATACACCTATTGCTAAAAGGAATATGCAGTGAGAAACTGGATTCCAGCCAAGCAAAAGGCTGCTTGGCTAACTTTATTCTTCCATTTGACTGCTGGGCTAACTTTACCACCTGTATTCTTCACTGTCATACTTGTGCTTTGAGTGAGGTGGGGAATGGAGGCCAAAGCAGACCATCTGCAGGCCAGGGATGCTGTGCTTTCTACTGGGGCAATTTCATGGGGCACTGTGCCTTGTGAATGATGGTGAGGGGAAGACAAAAGCTTCTCCATATTATTCCAGGATGGGAGTCCATTCGGCTGGAACACTGTGCACTCTGAAAGACCTGAAACTACCCCCTTGTGCTGGGATCAGCCGGCAAGCCCAGGGGCTGGGGGCACTGTTCACCTTCCACTCAGGCTTTGTCTTAGGACAGGAGAAAGCAGGCCTGTGGGCTGGCAGCAGCCACAGCTGTCGATGCAGATGAAGTAATGACTTCTCAGGTCTTCACTGAGCACACATGGGGACCACACATTAGATTCTTTACTCCAGTGAGGTACGCCCAGTCCTGTCCAGGAGTATCTCCTTATCCTTCCTGTTCTAAAAGCCTCTGGCGTGTTTCCATCACAATTTCTTCCATTATTTCTGGCTTTAAGATGTCTTTGATCTGAAAAAGGAAAAAGGTATTTGTTCAAAAAAGAAACCAACGATAAGCAGACCACCAAGCCAACCCAAATGTAGAAACCAAGTGTTTTCAACATAAGCCTTTTGTATTCCTTTCATGTATCAGAAGCTAAGCGCTGCAAGACAGGATCTGCTAAACCCAGCTTAATACATCAGCAAGATTCTCTGGGATACAGCTGACAAGAACAAAGATATCACTCTGACATTCATCAAAAAGACAGCTGAAATTTGGGATGGGTAAGATGAAGACCAGAAGATCACATCATAAACTTGTGCCATCTGACTCCTCCAGCCCCCACCAAATCCTGAGATTGACACTAGACATTGAGAATACCGCAAGTATTTTGGGGAGAGCTCCACCAGACACTGATGAAGGCCGCCTTGCAGGCCAGTTCATACTAAAGGGCATGGTAATGAAAGCACCTGGGTGACATGCTTGCTGTCTCTAAGGAAACAGCAGCTCACAGATCAGTGAGGGAAGGGAAGCCTTGGTTTGAGTACCTGGTGTGGAAGGGATGCTTCATAGCAATACAGGATACTGGTATCATACAGCATCATCCTCTGGGTTACCAGTGAGACGATGCAATTCCGAAGCCGGGATATCACCTCTCGATCGGCAAGGGAGACAGGCTAGGAGGGGGAGCAAAGCAGGAGGGAAGACATATAAAAGCAGGACCAAAATAGGTGACTGGTCACAGTAAATCACTGAAAGGAAATCATTTATGACTCATACAATATCCCTCTGGGACTCCAAACCAACCGAACAGCTGACTCCAAGGGAGATTACAAAGGATGGCCGCTGTAGCGGCTCTGTGGCTACTACCTTGCCACTTTGTTTCTGCAACAAAACTCAGACCAGTCACTGAGTTCATCTCTTTAGAGGAGAGAAGGCAATACAGTGTTCAAGAACATACCTCCATGGAAATTCAAACTAACTCAGACTACAGCAATAACATAGTTAAAAAACAGTGAACTCCACCTGCCACAAAAACACAGCAGAGACCGAGTGCCGCTCCATCCCACCGACAGTGGCATCGGTGTTTACGCACCTCCAGGTTTGCAGTGAAGCCCCCTGCATCCTCTTCTTTGTGTTCAGGCGTTGGGTAGATCCATATGAAGCCGTTGTTACCCAGGATCACTGAGGCGCCACATGGCAAGTCATGGAAGTGCGTCTTCTGCCGTTTCACCAGGGAGGGAGAAACCTGGACCAAAACACCCTGCCCTAGCTAAAGAAACACATAAATTAGGTCACTGTGAGATCATCAGTGAGAGGAATGAAACGTAGACTATACCTACAGTCCACTCCCTGCTGGGGGAGGGTCTGCAGCACGGAGGCCCGTGAAGGCCAGCAGCAGCAGGGCGTCCCTCTACTTCACGCACGTGAATGTGGTGGCTGCTGCCATGCCATCAAGGGAAGAGGTTTTTGTTCCATTCAGAAAACGAAGAGGGGCCGGGTGCGGTGGCTCACGCCTGTAACCCTAGCACTCTGGGAGGCTGAGGCGGGCAGATTGCTCGAGGTCAGGAAGAGTGAGACTCTGTCTCTACTATAAATAGAAAGAAATTAATTGGCCAACTAAAAATATATAGAAAAAAATCAGCCGAGCATGGTGCCACAAGCCTGTAGTCCTAGCCACTCCGGAGGCTGAGGCAGGAGGACCACTTGAGCCCAGGAGTTTGAGGTTGCTGTGAGCTAGGCTGACACGGCACTCACTCTAGCCTGGGCAACAAAGCGAGACTCTGTCTCAAAAAAAAAAAAAAAAAAAAAGAAAGAAAGAAAGAAAGAAAATGAAAAGGTTCACCCTGGTAAAGCTATGAGGTAAAGCTAGTGAATCCTAATTTGTTTTAGAAAGTGTGCCGTCCTTTAAAAAAATAGCCTCTGTTATGTAACCTCACAAGCAAAGCAGTGAAATTACATTTAGAATCTCACAGGACAAAGCAATCTTTGCCAGCAGTGACAGCCATTTAATTGAGTGGACGTTCATCCAAGGGCTGTTTCATCAGGCCGGGGGCTCCCTGGGTTCCAAGGATGACCTCTCAGCTGTGGCCCCAGTGCTGAGCTGCAGCGCCCCCTGGAGGGGACAGAGACAGCAGCACCTCAGAGCCCAGGGTCAGAGGGGCTCTCCTGCCACAAGTCTCCCCAGGAGAAAAAGGATAAAAGCTGTCCTTTACAGTGCTACTGACCCATGACCCTGTGAATCCCAACCTTCCTTCTGTGAAGTTCAGAGAACACGATCAGTTGGTGTGATGCCAGCCATCATTAGCGCCTAACTACTGGGGTTCTTTAGGTCAGAATTCCAGAGAACTCTAGGGATTTAGAAATGGACTTGATGTCTCGGTCAGCAAACAGGAACATCAAGAGCCAACTTACTTTTCCATACTTCAGGCTCCTCGTGTGCAGAGAGACGGCTCCGTCAGAGAACACTGCCTGGACCTCAGCCTGGCCAGGGTGGTAAAGGCACAAACGGCAGCCTGGGCCACCCACTCTCATGTTCCTGTGTCCCCCGGCCCCTGACCCCACGCCTCCGTCTTTTCCTCCCATCTCCCAACAGTCCAGCTCAACGACCTCAGACAGTTAAACAGACTCAGAGGACACCACTGTGGCCTCACCTCTCCCCTTCGTTGTCAGGAGTATCTCAATATGAACAACACCTTTTCTACTCCCTAGTATAAAAGTTAGCATCATTAGGAAAACTTGAGTCTGAACTAAAGCACAGGCCACCATAAGTTACAAGACCCAAAGAAATGACTTAGCAGCAGGTCTGAACAAGAGCTGAAGAATAAATCTGAGTTAAGGGCACAGAGAAAGGCTGCAGCAGAGCCCATGACACTTGATCTAAGACTCAGATCCCTGCAAAGACTCCCCTGTCAGGCCCATTTCCCAGCCCTACTGAAAAGCCTCAAAGGCTGGAATGCAAAGTGCAGGATACACTGATAAGGTCCCCTTCCTGTAAGAAGCCTCTCATTGCAAGCTCATCTTCTGCAGATCTTCTCCTCTGAAATACACAAAGAAATAACCACATTACTTAAGTCAGAGCCTCAGAAAGACCTCTCCCGTTGCTTCTTTCCCTTTCACCTCCTTTTGAGATCTTTGAAGCCAACCACAATACTCAAGCACTAAGAACCATGGGAAGAGTAGGCAGATCACAACTCTCCGTCTGGGGGGCCTTTCCACAGCTCCCTTTCTCCGTCTTCTTTCCCTCCCTCCTCTGGGTAACTTTCAAACTCTCCCAGTCTCCTCCAGCCAACTTTTCTACACTCACCTTCCGTGACAGCTGTGTGTCCCAGCAGGACCAGACTACCTCCTGCTTGGAATGTCTCTGCTCACACATTTCTCTACAGCTCAAACTCCCTGAATTTGTCATTTAAATTCTCTCCATCCTTCCAGGATCAACTCCAATGCCAGTTTTTCCTATGAGCTTCTCTGAAATCAATCATTCCTTTTGTACCACCACACACTTGTTTATTCTCCTACCAACAGGTTTTGGATCCGTTATCTCATATCCCCTGCAAGGGAACTCAGTCGTGCTTGGCATTCTCCAAAGAACCAGCACAGTGAGCCTCTCTGTAAATATATGCTGGCCTGAAAATAAAGGTGAACCATGGTATTCTACAGAAGGCTGGAGCTTAGTTGCTGCAGTTGTCTGGAATAACCAGATGCCTTTCAAGTCATGAAAAACTGGTATAAAGACATTTTTCAAGGAGTATCTTTACTGTGCAAAGCTGATGCATCCAGAAAAGGAAAATTTTTAGCACCAAGCATCTAAGAGTTTCTCTGCCCAATTTTCTTCTGGGATCCCATCCCATGGATGTTTCTGATCTTAATGTATGCCAATTGCTGCCTATCTGGGGACACCTGGGCCAGGTGAAAAGTCTACGTATACATCCAGATAGTACACTTCCCGGCAAACAAACAGGAGTAAAAGGGGCAACCTTAGTGTGAAGCAAAGTTCTCTCATAGAGCAAAGGACCCCACAGGTCCCCTTAGCCAACTGGCCCTAATCCAGGGCCCAGCTGGAGCCCTTACCAGCTCTCCTCCAGGGAGGTTCATGGACGAGAGAAGCAAGACTGAATCCAGCCTGGAGTTGGTCTCCACCTTCCACCTCTTTTGTTGAACCTACAAACCAAAGAAGTTCCACACCTGGACACATGCTCCAGGGACAAAAGCTCACATCGTAAGTGACCGGTAATCCCAAATGTAACAAGCCAAATATTAACATCTGAGGTCACACAATAGCCAAATGCAATGAATGCCTTTTCCTTGTAACTACATATAGAATGACTACCCCATTCATTAAATCACCAGCTTGCCTTACTTTGTAAACACCCATCTGATACCAACTTTACCTCTGTGATTCTCCCCACTACAATGTCTCCCACTTCACCATTATATCTGAAAGATAAAACGAAAGGTCATCCATCAGTGAACGGACTTTCTTACGAGACCAAGCACGTCTGAGATTTCAGTTAAACAGGATAAGGGCCTTGATTAGGCACCACATTTAGCAAATTCATATAACTATACTATTTGGACTTATTTTTAGAAATTGTTAACTTCAAACATTCCTCCGTGTATAAAGTCTCCATGATATTATCCTTAAACAAATCATTATTCCAAGTAGTTTGTTTTGGCCAAAATTCCTATTTTGTTTGATTACATGACAATGAGAAGCATGGAGTGTTTTCCTGGATGAGTTCTGCACCAGCCAAAGGAGAAGGGAAATAGTTTGGAGACCCAAACCAGTCTACTTGCTATCTGTCTCCCCACCCACTGCCTGCCCATCTCAAGCCCCTCTGCGAGTTCCTCATCCCCGATTCTAGCGACGAAGCATTCGATACTGAGGCTCAGTACTCAGACCTTTTCGCTTTTTCACCCACACTCACCTCTTGGTGAGCTCATCCAATCTAATGGCTTTAAAAACCACCGATGACTGCATCACTCCCTTGAATTCCAGATTCAGCTGCTAGCTACCCAACATCACCACTCAGATGACTAATAAGCATTTTCAAATGTAACAAGCCCAAAACTAAACTTTTCAGCAGCCCCTTCCCCTCCTGGATAGCATACTGAGATAAGGGACAACTCATCCTCTCAGTAAATGGTGACTCTATCCCCCCTTGGAGCTACCCTTGGTTTCTCTCTCTCTCTTTCTCTCTCTCATGCTCCAGGACAAGTCCAGCAGCAAATCCTGCTGGCTCTACCCTTAAAATATATGCAGGACATAAAAGGCATCCTAATTGGAAAAGAAGAAGTAAAACTATCTCAGGTGACAGGGTCCTAAATATAGAAAAACCCAAAGAATACAAAATCCAACATCCTTTCATGATGAAAACACTCAGAAAACAAAATCTATGCAGAATCTAATCACTCCTCCCCACTTTCACTGCTGCCACCTTAATCCAAGTGACCATCACTTCAGATGATGAATATGGTCCCTAATACAACTCCCTAAGCCTGCCCCCAAACCCCTTCAATCTTCCCACAGCAGCCAGAGTGATTTTATTAAAACCTAAGTCAGATCATGTCCCTCCTCTGCTCCACCTCTTCCAAGTGGCTTCCCAGATTACACAAAGTAGAATCTAAAATGTTTATCATAGCTGCAAGGCAGGCCAACTATCCGCCCAACTCAGCTCTCTGCCTGTATCTGCTCTTTCCCCCTCACACATTGTGTTCCAACCCCACTGGCTTCCTTTCTGGGACCAACCTTTATTGAACATTTCTAGGTATCAGGCCCCGTATGAAGTGCTCTACGTGCACCATCTCACTGTTTTCTTTTCTTTTCTTTTCTTTTCTTTTTTTTTTTTTTTTTTGAGACAGAGTCTCGCTTTGTTGCCCAGGCTAGAGTGAGTGCCGTGGTATCAGCCTAGCTCACAGCAACCTCAAACTCCTGGGCTCAAGCGATCCTTCTGCCACAGCCTCCTGAGTAGCTGGTACTACAGGCATGCGCCACCATGCCCAGCTAATTTTTTCTACTTTGGGTAGAGATGGGGTCTCGCTCTTGCTCAGGCTAGTCTAGAACTCCTGAACTCAAACAATCCGCCTGCCTCGGCCTCCCACAGTGCTAGGATTACAGGCATGAGCCACCAAGCCCAGCCATCTCATTGAATTCTAATGAAAATCCTATGAGATAGGCTATGCTATTATTCTTACTTGCAGAGGTGGTAACCAAGGCTTGGAGAGGTCAGGTAACATGGGGAAACCTTTGAGGCCCACACTGATCTATACCACCCTTCCTACAGTCATGTTCAAAATCACAGACCTACAGCAAGCTTGGGCAAGCAGGGGTGAGGATGGGAGGTAAAAGGAGGCAGAAAAAAACCTGGTTGTACAGCATGGAGGCTGCAAGAAAGAGAACACACATCTTTGTTCTCACCTTGTTTTCAAAGCTTTCACACAGATCAACTTGTTTACTCTCTCCACAGAGCCAGCCACCGATGCAATGAGCTTCTCTTCCCCCATATATGTTCCGTGGCCTCTGTTGCAAGATGAAGATACAAAGAAAAGATACCAGTGTAACACTTGAGGTGACCTCTCCTGTCAAGAACAATGTGTTCCTCAAACCTAAGGGGCTCCTCCTGCCATAAATCCTGGCTTTTGTGCTTGCTGATCTCTCTGCCTGGACCATTCCTTCTCCAGAGAGCTACATGGATATCTCTCATGTTACTCAAGTCTGCTCAGGTGTCACATTCTCCAGTGGGCCTATCTAGACTATCCTACTTCAAAACAGTATCCCACCCCACTGCCAACACTCCCACCATATTCCCAACCACATTCCACTTACCTTGCTCCACTTTTTTTTCCCATTGCATTTACTGCCTAACATTTGGCATAACTTATCTCTTGCATTTATTGTTTATTATCTGTCTCTCCCTGTTAGAACTCCACCGGGACAGAGATTTTCACTTTGTTCACTGTTATACCTCAATTGCACAGAATATATGTTGAAAGCATGAATGAATCTTAAGATTTCCTAGGATCCAATAATCTTTAAGGAGATTAAAGGGCAATGCTGTAAATGCTGTACCCCATATATGTACATATGTACCCACCCCCCCAAAAAAGGCTGAAATACCACTAGCATTTATCTATGATGGTGAATATAATGGAGAACTCTGCTTCTTTTCTTATATTATTATCTCATTTACTCAATACCCTATCAAATATTATCATCACTATCTTTCAGATGAGGAAACTGACCTTAGAGAGGGAATATAGCTAATAAGATGTGATGGTGGCAGAACTGGAACCCCGAATGCCTGACTCAGAGCCTGTCCTCTTAACTGCAAAACACCGTACTGTCCTTAGGTTTAAAGTTTGTATAATTCGGTGCATGTAACACAATACATGTTTGCCCTAAGCCCAATCAGTTACTGCTTCCAAAACCCAGCCCCTAACTGGAAGATGACACTGAGGGAGAATCTGGAAGCCAAGTCAGGAACGCCCACTGTCCCCTTAGCTGAAAACTGGAAAGAGCCCTACTCCTAACCCTCCCGTTGTCCAGGTTTTCCACAAGGAAGGCTCAAAGATCTGGGCTTCAGGCAGAGGACCCCCTAAATCACGGCCACCAGAGGTCAAGAGAGGAGGGCTTTAGGGGGTTGAGACAAACGCAGACGGGAACACAAGATGCAGAGAGTAAGAAGCACGATGCTCAGAAACGAGGCGACTGGGATGCTCAAGGGATGAGCCCTGGGTCCCGCCAGGAGTTAAAAGCAAGGGGCCAAAGTTCGGGTTTCGTGCAAACAGACCACGTGCACAGGGCCCTGCAGCCGCTCTCTGCGGCCCTGCGGCCCCCTAAGTCCCCACGTACCGCATGAAACCTGTGTCCGTAGTGATCGTGTCGCCCGGCACCACCAAGTGTTTCTTAGACTCGCGGCCCAGGCTCTCGCTAAGAGGCTTTCGAGCAACTGGAAGCCTCATCTCCATCGCCATCTTGGCGCCAATGACTTGCGCAGGCGCAGCTAGCCGCGATACTGGGCTCCGCAACTCCCAGCCGCGCTCGGAGGGGCGGGGCTTCAGAGCAGCAGCCAACAGGAACGCACGGTGTGGTGGCCATGTTGACTATTGGCAACCATTAGGTTAACCTGAAGGGAAGGAGGGAACCCAGTTGCCATGTTTACTATTGGCAAGGAAAAATCTGTGCAATAAAAACACCTTACATTGTATATGTAGTGTGTGACTTTTTACTAAAACTATCTCGTACTCATCATCCCAATTATTGTTTACCAGAGTTAGAAATCATTGAGGAATGGACCTCTGAGTTTCTATCCAACTCTAAGCAGCTAAAATCTGATACTTTGTATGGGAGAGTTCAGGAGGATCAGCAGGTGAGATCTACAGAAAATACTAGAACAGAAAGAAGAGCCCCTTTTCATACCGTTCCTAGTAGCCCCAGTATTCTACATCGTGCCACTCTGTGGGTGCTGGTTCATCACCTACCCATAAACAGTGTTCCAGATACTACTCACTTGGTTCTGTTCTTTAGTAAAGACCTCTTTTGGCTGAGCTGATTTACTCTTTCTTTGGAAAAAATTAGAAACCACCTAAGAAAACAGATTAAACCTTGCAAGACAATAATAATTTTGTGGGGAAGGCAAATCAGCAACATGAATACAAAAATCTTCTCTTATGTTTTCTCATACTGCCAATTGAGTGCTCTCTGTGTGCCAGGCGCTGTTTTAAAGATCTCAGAACACCGGGCGTTGTAATCCTACTATCTGGAGGCCGATCAGGCGGATTGCTCGAATCAGGAGTTCGAAACCAGCCTGAGCAAGCGAACCCCGTCTTCTACTTAAAATGAAATAAATTAATTGCCAATAATATATATAGAAAAAATTAGCCGGGCATCGGTGCACATGCCTGTAGTCCCAGCCACTTGGAGGCTGACAGCAGGTTGCTTGAGCCCAGGAGTTTGAGGTTTCTCTGAGCGAGGCTGACACCACGCGCTCCTCTAGCCTGGGCAACAAAGCGAGACTCGTCTCAAAAAAATAAATGAATAAAATAAATAAATAAATAAAAATATATTGAAAAAAATTAGCCAGGCATGTAGTCCCAGCTTCTTGGGAGGCTGAGGCAGGAGGATCGCTTGAGCCCAGGAGATTGAGGTTGCTGTGAGCTAGGCTGATACCACGGCACTCTAGCCGGCAGGGGCAACAGAGTGAGACTCTGTCTCAAAAAAAAAAAAAACTCAGTGGTTGATACATAGATGTCTATGTCGCTTTTTCTGCAGCTCTGTTTAATAGGAGTGTTTCCCTTGTTCCTTCTCCCTGCTCCTACTACCCTCTCCCTCCCCTTGCCCTGCGTGGTTTACAGCATTCACAACAAACTCCATTTCAACCCCAGGGAATTGAAGATGATGATTTGCCACGCACAGGGCCTCTGAGCTTAAATGAAATAACCTGCATCATCCACCCATGTTGTGGCCAATAAATCAAGTCCACTGCCTTCTGAAGATCCATCAGGCCAATTGTTTTATTCTTTTTTTTTTTTTTTGGAGACAGAGTCTTGCTTGTTGCCCAGGCTAAGAGTGAGTGCCATAGCATCAGCCTAGCTCACAGCAACCTCAAAATTTCTGGGCTCAACGATCCTACTGCCTAGCCTCCAAGTAGCTGGGACTACAGGCATGCACACCATGCCGGCTAATTTTTCTATATAATTATTGGCCATTAATTATTTCTATTATAGTAGAGACGGATCTCGCTCTCGCTCTTGCTCAGGCTGGTTTCGAACTCCTGACCTTGAGCAATCCCCACCTCAGCCTCCCAGATGCTAGGATACAGCGTGAGCCACCGCGCCCGCCCAGAATTTTTTATAAATCTCAAAAGACAGCATTTCTTTCACTTAAGGCTCATGACTACGCTTGTCAGGAAAGCCAACCCTGCCAGACAGTCAATGACATATAATGCTTCCACAGTCATGTATAAGTGAGAGCCAGACCTCGCCTCCTCTGCTGCCTGGCTAGAGCCAAGAAAGTGCAGCAGCGCAGCTGTTGAGTCGAGCTGTGGCCATAAGAGGGCGATGATGTCCTTTGAGCCAGCATAGTGCAAGGCCCAGGGAGGGGCCCTAGACCAAGGGGGATAGTCCTGACATCACCCAGTTTCATCCCAGGAGGAATGGACACAACTTTAACCCCACCATTGCCACAGCCCTTACTTTCATGGAGCCTCTCACAAGGTTGGCATTGCCAATACCTATTTATAGAAGAGGAAACTGAGGCTCAAAAAGCACTAGAATCACATAGTAAAAGGCTGCAAGGCCAGTGTTTGTTCCAAATGCATGTGCTTTACCCCAGAGCCTGCACCATTCACCAAACATTTCCTGAGTGCTTTGCTGGGTGCTTTACAAGCGTTATGTTATTTATCCCTTCTTTTTTCTCTTTTTTTTTTGATACAGAGTCTCACTCTGTTGCCTTGGCTAGAGTGCCGGGCATCAGCCTAGCTCACAGCAACCTCAAACTCCTGGGCTCAACGATCCTCTGCCTCAGCCTCCCAAGTAGCTGGGATACAGGCATGCCACCATGCCCGCTGATTTTTCAACATTTAGCTGCCAATTAATTTCTTTCTACTTTTAGTTTATTTCTTTCTACTTTTAGAGATGAGGTCTTGCTCTTGCTCAGGCTGGTCTGGAACTCCTGAGTTCAAAGGATGCGCTCGCCTCGGCCTCCCACAGTGCTAGGATTACAGGCATGAGCCACCTCACCCAGCCTTTATTCCTTTCTTTTAGCCCATCTTGGAGGTAGGCATTGCTGTCTCTGACAGTCATTTGGGACCACTGAGTCCCCAGAAGAGACCTGCCTCTGGGACTAGGCTCGAAGCCTGCAGACTGCCGGCCGCTGTTCCTTTCTGCATCACACTGGCCTCTTCGCCACACCCACACACGTGGGCACCTGGAAACAGAGCTGCACATCCCGTGGGGCTTGTTAAAAATATAAATTCCTGAGCTCAGATATAGGCAGTGAGGTTCTGCAAAGGGAGGGTGAAAGTGTGTTTTAATTCCCTGTGTGATTTCAGTGGCCAATCAGGTCTAACGTTTGCTGATTCCCCCCACATCTCTGCATCTCTACAACCACCACCCCAGGCTGATCAATGCCATTTCTACTAGGGTGACTGTAATAACCTCCTGGCTTGTCTCCCTAATTCTGTATTTGCCCCTCCTACCATCCAGTGTCCACATAGCAGCCAGAGGGAGCTTCTCAAAACAGATCAGATCAAATCACTTCCTTCCTTAAACACTTTTGGCAGCTTCTCTTTACACTGAGAATAAAATCCAAATTGATTTATCATGAGCCCTGCCTATCTCTGACCACACTCTCTTCCTAACCCACCGTGTTAGCCATTACACTGCAGCCAGACCCACTGGCCTCGCCTTGGTTTCACAAACACCAAGCTCATCACCAGCCCAGATGGTTTGCTTTGGGACCTTTCTATCTGGAATTCTCTTCTGCCAGGTCTTTGTGTGGCCAGCTCCTTCTCCTCGCTCATGTCCTGCACAAATATCACCTCCTCAGAGAAGACTTCCCTGGTTACCTTATCTGGAACAACCCTCCAGTCCCTTTTTTTTTTTCTTTTTTGTGACAGGGTCTCGCTCTGTCACCTGGGCTAGAATGCCATAGTGTTAGCCCAGCTTACAGCAACCTCAAACTCCTGGGCTTGAGCGATCCTTTTGCCTCAGCCTCCCAAGTAGCTTGGACTACAGGCACACACCACCAAGCCTGGCTAATTGTTTTTAATTTTTTTAAAATACTTTTAGTAGATACAGGGTCTTGCTTTTGCTCAGGCTGGTCTTGAACTCCTTATCTCAAGCGATCCTCCTGCCTCGGCCTCCCAGAGTGCTAGGATTACAGGTGTGAGCCACCGTGCCTGGTCCCCAGTCCCTTTTTCAATCACTTGATCCTGTTTTATTTCTTATTACTGAATGTTCCCTTTGTTTATTGCAGACTTCCCCAACGAAGACATGAGTGTTCTGAGACAGGGACTTTATCTGTTCTGTTCAATGTGCTTCAGTGCTTAGAACCAGGTCTAGCACATAAAAGGCAGCCATAATATGTTAGTTGAAAAATAAGATCTGTTTACAAAATATCCGTTTGCTCATCATCTGTGTTCCCCAGAGGATTTGAGCCCCACAAATACCCAAACTCTATTTTGTTCTAAACCTGTGCTTGTTACATGGTAGGCCCTTGTATCAACCATGTCTTTGATATTCTGAACCATGTCTTTGATATTCTGAACTCCGATGTGTTGACATCTGGGGCCCTGCTCACCCTGGAGGGACTGCCCAACCCAGGGTTGGGTTAACCAATTCTAGACATAGTGAACAACTCACCCAGGAGCTGCGCCTTTCAAATGCAAACCACTAATCCTGAACACACACACCCCAAACACCTCCTTTGCTAGGCTCTGCCACTCAGGGCCACTATCCACCTGCCCCGGTCTCCCAGGGCCAGATACCAGACAACTAGGTACAGCCCCTGTGCCCCAGAGCACACTGAACTTATCCAAGCTAAGCAATCTCAAACTGCTTACCCTGCCTCCCCCTTCCTGTCCCCTGGAAACCACAATAAAGGATCCTGCCCAGTTCTCCCCTCACTCCTTCCACCTCTGACCCACCCCAGAGCCTCCCTGTGCACCCTGCCTCCTTCTTCGAGGAAACTGCGAGTATAACAAAGTTCTCTCTTTACGAGAGTCATTTCCGTGTCAGCATGTCTTACAATACCTGATTAAAACAAATCCTAGTACCCTTAAAAAAGTTCTCACTAAGGAACTGTTGAATTAATGAATGAACTTACTCAACGTGCATTGGCTGGGCACCAAGTGTGTGCTGTGGGTTCACAGAGCTGGGCCATTTGCTGCCCAGTCAGTCCTCAAGGTGCTACGGTGTTCAAAGATGGGGGGGTGAGGGAGGGGAGACAGAAAAGCCTGCGTGACAGGTGGCATTTGAGTGAGCCTTAAAGTAAGGGAA